CTATATCGTGATACAAATCTGAAAGACTGTACAGATTCAGTATGTAAAATTTGAATTTTCACTAGAGATACTTGTAATTAAATCATAACATATTTACTAATCGCTTATTAACTAGTGAATTATGAATATAAAACTATCCACATTTTGTCGTGTATTTAACACAATGTGTTAGTAAAGTAATTGTAGAACTTTATGTAGTTTTATAGTTCTTACAAATTATTTCCAGTTCTTATAAAACGACGAAGAGATGATGAATACGGAAAACTCTTATTTTGTTTCAAGAAACGACTTAAATTTGATAACGTCTCTACATATAATAAAAGGAAAAGTCTGTCTATGTGTGGGTCTTTCGTTAGTGCCGCGCGTAAGCTAATAGACCCAGGACTACGAAATTTGGCACATAGGTGCATCTATGCAAGAGCCAGTGCACCTCAAAGCGATATTTTCAAAATTCGAATGAGTTTTTTTATTTTATGTTTTTTATGAAATCACTTCAGATCGATAATTCAACAGCAACAATGGCACGCAGCCATTGCTGCTGATATATCACTGTTGCCATTGCTGCTGATATCAGCACTCTTGCCACCCGAAAAGATGAGGACGATAATTCTGTGCAGTTTTTAAATTGAATGTTTCTCTTGGATACTGGACGTTTGTCGAGAGAAGGCAATGGGAAGTTGGTTAATTTATTTATTAGGGTAATTAATATTTGTATTAAAAGATATTTCTTATTTCATTGTATTTTTTATATGTAATACACTTTTATTGAATTTTTTGTAAAGTTGTTTTGCAGAGTGAAATTCTGCGCAGTTTTAAAATTCAATGTTTGGTGTTCCCTTTAGGCATTTTTCCGGTCTAGTCTTAAATAAATATTGTGCAACAGTCCAATAATTTTATGATACGTATATGTGAGGCTGCTCAGTAAGAAAGATACTTCCTCTTTTCTCTTTCTCTGTCATTTGATTGGAACTGTTGGACAGTTTCATTAACTAAAATTGCGGTTTAGAATGATCCCGTATTTGCTAGGTTATTCCGCCAAAGTGGTAACAAAATACTTTTTTTATGGCAGGCACTAGCCATTTTCAGGCTTTGGCCACTATTAAGTTCAGAAACTATGGTTGTTTTTGTATTATGGAGGCACCTAATAAGCGGCCACCGTTGCCTCCTATGAAAAGACAGACAATTTTAAAACCATGCTTTCTTCGGAATTCGAACCCGGGCCATTCGGTATGGCAGTCAGTCATTAACCACTTTCCCATCTGGGTGACGATAGCAAGATACTAAAATTCCCACGCAAAACAGCAAGAATGAAAAATAAGCGCATTTCTCATCGTGCTTTCAGCTGAAATGGATGCTAGTTGCAATGAACAATACACGCAACCATAAAACTTCTTTCGCCTGTATAAACAGGTAACAAAAACATATGAAATGATCCAGAAATCGTATGATGAGAACGCATTCTACAATATTTTGATAGTTCAAGGTGTAAGAAATAAAACAACTTCTCTCATGCGTCCTAGTGGTAGATTTAGCTCTTTGAGCTAGCAACTGGAAAATTTAAGTTTGACTTTCTTTCTTTCTTTCCACCGACAGCGAGGCAGCCGGTCCACTGGGTAGTTAGCATATCGGCCAGGTAGCACCGCTGACGGAATAACTTAACAAAGAACACTTATAATACATATTGGCTCAGACTACGGTGGGGGCGTGCAACAAAAGTGGACGAGACGATAGCGATGATGGAAGAAGGGTGCATTGCGGGCGTGAAGAACAATTCCAGTTACATATTACAGAGTAATGGATAGTGTTACAATCTAAAATAATAAGAAGCCGAAGCGCACCATTTGAGAGGAACTCGAGGGCGGAGAGACGATGCATAAGATACCGAGGACGGTAGAGGAGCCGTGACCTCAGGTAAGAAATATGAAATGAGAAGAGTATACATGAGTTATACGACAAATGGCTTTGTGGCGGAAATTGATGGTATAAGATTGGTATGAATATCAAATCTAATAAAAATGAAAATCATTTAAGTTTGACTGAAGGGCACAGTCGTTTTTTCAAGATTCCTGAATCACAAGAAACGTAATGACTAACCCGAACATTTCCCAAAAAAGTAATACAGGCCAGAATGTAGAAAGTAATTAGGTAATAAGATAAATTACCACCATGTTCATGCGAACGGAATACCTAGCAGTGGCCGTGTGTTTAAAAGCGCAACAGTAGTAGTTAAAACCCGGGTTTGAGTCCCATCAAACGGGTTGGCTGCATTTTTTTACAATTTTTTTACATGTAAAAGGAATACAGGCCAATTTCCCTAAAAGTCTTCCACTGAGGCATCTCTACTCAGTACACAACTTTTCTCTGCTTTGAACTAATTAAAATCAGACAGCATTCCAAAGGAGGACAGTTATGGTACAGTATTTATTATCTCTTAGTTTGATGAAAACACAGCCAAAATTACACTCTGCATTTTTCAGCCGTCATCAGCACAATACACAAAAAATTCGGTTCGTTACATTAAAGAGCAATGCATTTATATAATATGGAAGCTGAATAAAAAATTTAATACCTCGTCAATAAAAACAATTTCATTTTTTATTAGAACATTATACTTAATTTTCTCTTAGCAAAAAAAAAGTAGTGTATGATTTCATGTGTAAATAAATAAATAAATAAATAAAAATATTTTTGCAACAAAATTAATCAATATATTAAACAGAGTTTCTAAATGCAGTAATGCAATTCAATATAAAATGTTCTTATTTACATATTTTTATTATTTTTAGTATAATTATTTCAAGTTCAGTATACACCGTAATTCAATATAAACAGGTCTGACTGTTGTTTAGAAAAATGAAAATAAAATTAAAAAAGAAATTCAAAGCAGATAACATGGTACGTAAATAAGTATCTCCTCGTATTCAAGCGGCTTGTTAGCTGAGGAAATATTTTTCTTACTTTTACTTCACTTTTATTTTTAAAAATATTTTTATCAATATCGACTTACTTGCTGTTATGCGCATAATGACAGGCATATGCATATACTTTTCTTTACAGATATTATTTTCATTCACGTCAATTCTAAGTTTTATAATAACTGTTCTTTTGAATTATGTATACACTTCCGCATGGATGCATGGGTGTGTACAAATTTAAAAAAGCAAGTATGATGTTATATAATTATTTAAAAATAGTCTTTCAAAGTACTAAGATTAATTACTTTTATCCTATATCATTCTATCGACTATTTTTATCTTATGTTACATTACGAAAACCTCTTTATCATGGCAGGAGCGCAGATTCGTAGTGACATATCACTTTAGCAAATGATCTTTGTCCCACTACTTCCAAATAACTAGTCTTCCTTTCTTTCTTTCATTCATTCTCCCTCCCCCAACACACACACTTTAGCGCGTGTGATAGGAGTTATTTGGGATATTATGGAGCATTTAAGTTTCAGCGCTACCAACACTTTTTAGTATCTAACGTAATGCCTCATTAGTCCTCATTTGGGCACTTATTTGTGGAAAGGAAGAGCCCATTTCATTAGTCCTTGAGACTAACTCTAATTCAACGTATGGGTTTTTGCAAAATTTGCGGAGGCATAGAACTTGAAATGAAATGGAGAATATCCGTGTTCGCTGTAATTAGTCTTTACAAAATCCCTTATACTGTTTTACTTTTCAATTGTAATTTTTTGATTTAAAATAGCAGTAGGAAAATTTTTTCCTTGCTATGCAAACTTATTCATTGTCTTGAGTCGATGGTCCTATTCTAGTTTATTATATGTGCTTATTTTCAGTAATACTAACAGTTTTAAAAAATTACAACAAAAAAATATTACGCTGAGCAACCAATAATAAAGGAAAAATTATAACGTTTTTAGGTTTTTTATCCATTTTTAACCAACAGTTCATGTTAAGTTTCACTACTTTCCTATTACTTTGTTTTCACCCACGCTTTTCATGCCAGAATGCAAATGAGATAGTGAACGTTTATTCAAATTTAGGTAGAAAGAAGTTCTGTTTAAGCAAGAGTTTCGGAAGTTATATTTAGAGCTTGTCCGTCTATTTCAGGCCATGTTGTTCTGTGATTATTGACTTGACGGCGTTGAGTGTTTCTAGCCAGTTAGCTTTGCCTTACCGGTTTACTACAAACCAGACCCTTTCCTACGCGTTTAAGTATTCTGTGAGCCGTTAGGATAATCTACCACACCTTGAAATTGTTATTTTTTACGTATTTATGCTAAGCCAGAAATGCTTGGCTTATGTAAACCCAAGTTGGGTCATTTGTTCATGTTGTGTTCGAATAAAAAGGGTCTTGTACACCCTTTTTCTGACTGCTGTTTTGTTTCACAAGGCTGGAAGATAATTCTTCAATCAGTCTTTTTAAAGTCTATATGTTCCCAAAGAGACATAGACTTTAAAAATTAAATTGCTGAAAAATAATTTGAAAATATTTCGCCACAGCTAATGATACGGGGCAGTAATACGTCCTTTTTGAAAGTCAGGAGAATAAAGTAGCTATCATCGTAGCACCGGAACCTTATAACTGCATTTGATGCAATTATTGCATTAGAAGATGATATTAAACTGCCGTTTTTCCACTGCAATTCCCTTAAAAGACTAAGAGTCTGTTACTAATGTTATTATGACATAATAACACTAATGTTATTATGACATTAATTTGGAAAGTTTATTACTAAACCAATATAAATCATGACTATAGTCGAAATAACAACAGAAGAATTAAACTACTTTGATAAATTAAAATATTTTCTCTTGTCTCCAAGATGACTGTTAGTTGTTATGAATCGGAAATTCAATTGTGTTCTATAAAATCTCATCATAATTAGGCAATTCTTATGCAGGTCATGATGAGACCATTACATTCGAAGCAGAATAATTAAATTTGTTCGGGCATTTTCAGTTCAGCCTAAAGACGTTTGAAATGATCAATAAATTTGGAGACAATTGAGATATGTAATATAGCTAGCTTACCAGGATATTAGCAGAACCAATGTTTTCTTCCTCATATTAGGATATTTAACGAGACCTAAAGAGGTTTGTAGAAAAGACTCTTTCTTTTCTGGCTTTGTCTCATTTTGGTCCAGTGTTGAATTTCTCTGTAAAATAAAAGATAAGATTTATTATATTGGGCAATTTTATTTGAATAGCAATACATTAATGAAAGGTTTTTATCTATCATGCATAGTACAATTGAAATTTCAAGCTCATTACTAAACCCTAACCTAAAATTAATTCAATAAACTGAAGTGAGCTAAGTATAAAATTTCTATTCCATCAGAAAATTTTAGCTTGAACTTAATTTAAATAGATATTTATGATAAATGTATTTCAAAATGGGAAACATGCAAAGATATTTCACAGACAGAAGTTCGATTAATTCATTCAATTTAAATCCAAAAATTTCTACTGATTTTGTCATACTCATTTGTACTAGAGTAATGCTTTTAATATCCTAATAGTGATCTTTAAATAGACAGCATGTTTAATTGTCCTTGTGTAATATCTTGTGCGTAACTTTTTTTTCTTCCATGTTGGAGAGGTTGTTTACGAAGTCATCTTTCATGTTTCGATGAACCTCGGTTTTAATCCTAGATAATCTATGGACGTTAGTTTAATTGAATATTCCTGTAGGAGTGCAATTCCTTCCATTTCCTTTGGCCAATATCAATATCTTCTTTCTCCTTTCGGATCGTTCAATATCTTTCATACCTGGGAAATTCTTATGAATTGTAAACAGCAGCTAAACTTTTTTAAACATTGATGGTCCTCCGTTCTTTTTCTATATTGACAGAATTTCCATGATCATGACATATAATGTTTGATACTTGAAACTATCAGAAGTTATGGCTTGCCTGTATATTCTTAGCAAAATCGCTTCGTGCTACCGTTTTATCTTTTTATGAGAGAGGGAGGTTCCTAGTTGTTATTTCTCTTCTCCAGTCCTATTTTTCTTCCATTTGCATTTGCAGGATCTTATAGTTTCTTCTTTGCATTTACTGAATATACGCGATTGAGATATCATGAACAAAAGGTTTGTTAATGTAACGTACTCTTATCATTTCACGTATTCCATCAATTCCGCTAAATATGGCATTTTTCTTCTCGCCTTTATAGCTTTCTAGGCTATGACATATGGTAGACGTAAATTTTATTCTGCATTCGGATTCTGCAATAACTGAGTATTAAAATAAATTCATTGAAGCAACTAATTGATATTGTCCAATCTTTAAAAAATAACTGCAGATCTGCAGTAGAGTTTCGATCTTCATACGAATCACGATATACTTAATAACTTACTAATTCAGAAGTCAGACAACAAAAATCAGCGTTATATTTTCAAATTTTTGCATTACTAGTTTCGATGGTTTTACCGAAACATCATCCTCAGCTGCAAAGGTTTGACTTCTGAATTACTATTTGTTCGGCGAGTTATTGTATCTTACTTAATAACTTATTTTTAAGTAAATTAAGACATAAATTTGAAATCAAAGTTAAAACAACAGAAAGTATATTTGCAGATGTAGCATATGTGCTGTATAAGTCATCGAATTGGTAAACCTTAAGTAAATCATAACAGGTTTTTATTGAATATGAGACTTGAACTATTATATGACTTGAACTATAAAAATATTTATGCAATATTTTAATAGTTCAAGTCTTTTTAAATATCTTTTTATCAATTTTAAACTTTTTTTATAAATCTCATTCAACACTTGAAAGTTGGCAGATATAATACTACGGATTGTGTAAAGCAGAATTCATAAGATACATGAAATGTCTGAAACTTTGGTGAAAATAATCATCAAGTTATGTAAAGTTAATTGAAGTAATATGTTTTAAGTTCCTTAAAAAAACTTTGTAAGGTCTGATTATGACACTCACTTTATTGGAGGATTTAAAATTTATTTTTCGAGTTATTTTAAGCTTTCGAAATGTTATTCTTTTATCTTTATTTTATGTTTTTAAAACGAAAGAAAACGATATTTTCGTAAGCAACGAAGCGCGTTCTGTAAACTTCATGACTGACTTCATTTCTTGCGTGTCGTGCTAAAAGGAAGGAGGTATGGTAAATTATAAATATTGGCAAAACTGCTTCAAATTAGAATTTTTGAACGTGACTCAGTTATTAACATCTTTCACTGATTTGATGCAATTGATGTGAAACTTTCGTTTAACGCCATTCATTAATTTTTATCATGCACCTTTTTGATGCCTCAATAAACGTCATCACTTTCAGCTCTACAGGTAATGCTTGAAAGCATATCCTTAACTTTTCCGATTTTTAGACTATGTAAACCTTATAAGACGAACGCAATGCAAGTTATCTGCAATTTAAAGGGTATTTATGCATGACTCAAATCAAGCCAAACAGCATAAAAATATTACGCACGTAGTAAAAAATGCAAAAACCTATATCATCTTCCTTAAATATAAATTGCATAAAACATCTTCCTGCAAGTATTATCTATAATAGAAACGTGGAGAAATAAGGATATCAGTACTGATTCTTTTTATCAGGTACTACGAAGGGAATAACGATGTATCAGAACGCTACTAATCTTAGAATGCAAAGAAGAAGGTAATATAAACCAGAGATCACCAAACCTAAGATCAAGCAGTCCGTCACGATGTTTCAAAGAAATTTTAATCAAACTTCTGTTTAACTTCTAAGGGCAACGAACTTTAAAAGCACTGGAGTATTTCTTCCCCACCATAATGACAATAAATAGTAACTTAATGACAATAAATAGTAAATTAATGACAATAAATAGTAACTTAATGACAATAAATAGTAACTTAATGACAATAAATAGTAACTTAATGACAATAAATAGTAACTTAATGACAATAAATAGTAACTTAATGACTAATAGTAATGACTTTCTTTCAATCACTTCATTCCGGATTTTTATATTTGATTACTTTTACAGAATTATTTTATTTCCATCCGGATGCACACACATGCATGGTAAGAATCAGAGTACAACGCAAACTTAAATGTATGAAAGCTTAGAGTTTTCTTTTGATATTTTAACCGAGTTTCTGTAGTTAAAAAATCAGCGAGAAATACATTTAATGGCATTTGCAAACTTAGCACTCAGAAGTGTTTTTTATACTTACAAAGTTGTTCACACGTGATATGTGGAAATATTTGTAATCTTGTGGGTAACAATCTGTTGCATTTAGAATCAATACTTATCCACTGTCAAGTAATCCCATGAATAATAATTGTTTTAATTTAAGTAGCATTATAATTTTCTTGTTTACAAGAAAAACGAAACCCCGCTTAATTTAAGAGCTCAGTAATATAGCTCTTTAAATGTCATTAAATAAAAAAAATTCCCATTAAAATAATATTTGTCTCTAAAATGCAGGAAACTTATATACTGATCATTTACTGTGAGATAAGAAGTTACAGCTACGAATCCTACCTATTAAGTGTATGAGAAATGTTTTAGCATGCAATTTATTTGCGAAATTCATCATTCAGGTGATGCATGATGTTAAAATAAACATTCATCAGATTACAGATGCGGATCTGATAACACCAAACTACCCCAATTACATACTGAGTCATCTTTCTGAATCACACAGAGAATCCTGCCACAAATCAACTATGATCTCGGAAACATTTTTGTACACCTTCTTATCGCTGGATCATAAGGTTAAAATTACTGTGCGAAGGGTTTAAGAGTTGATCAAGTGTTTGTATTTTGTTTGTGAGAATCAAATGTATGATTCTAAATTCCTGCCTTGCTCAAAATTTTCTGCCCGTTTAAAGAAGCTAAACTAACGATAGTCTTATGCGTACACGTTACTGTCGTCAGACTGAGAGAAGATCCAGTGGTGTTTGAAGGCTCTGATCTTCACCAGTGGGGTTTGATAACATCACAGGAATGATTCGGTTCTCCGTAAGCTCAAACACGATATTTAAAACTTCCCTTCATCTGATAGCCCCAAACCTCTTTACATCGATATCACTGCTGAAGCGCTGAACCGTCACGTGAGGCGTGTAATTTGCTAAAAAACCTGTCACTATCGTAGATAGCTTATCATTAACGAGAACCGTTAAACGTGAACTGAAAATTTTGATTAAACATTATCTTTCGATTCTTTGAATCCGTAAACAAGCTATCGATTTCATTTCTTTTTTCAGTGTGTTTTCAGTGTTTCTATTAAACTGTAAAACAATTCATTACATCTTAGACTGCTGTAAATATACAATATATACTTGAAATATCGAAACTAAAATGGCAAAGGTAAGGTGCGTAGTGAACATGAGAAATGCAATCTTCATACATAGGCGAAAATAATGAAAGGGTAAATAGTGAAAGCTAAAATATTATTATTCACGTGTTCTGCATTAAGGCACTACACGGAAAGGAGGAATGCCTTCGTGGAGGAGTTTGAAGGAAATTGACTCGTATTAACAGGTTACACATGGGGAAAACAACGAAAGCGCCCATGCAGCCAGCCCGTTCGCGGGATTCAATGCTCGGAACGAACTAGCAGTGTTTAGGGACTTCACCGCTCGACAGGTGGCAGGATAAGGTATTTTGATGCTCTATTTATCAGGATTTGGGAGACAAAGAGCGAGAAAGAGCAGTAAACCGTTCTTACTTTTATAGAATTTAAAGCTGTATGCTAAGTAAAATTTTGCTTGTCGTCAGAGCCGGGACATGGGTGAGGCAAGTGATGCATTTACCTCAAGTGATCGATCGGCTAACAGGGGGAGGCTAGATTAGTTGCTAAATTTTAGGAATAAAAAATTAATTATTTTTTAACTTTCAGTTTTGAAACGTAGAGAAGCAATAATTTGAAGTAGTACATTTAAAGCAATGAAAGGACTTTATATTATTCTTCAGCACTTGAGCATAAAAGTTCTACGCTTAATAGAGGTATTGATCTAATATTAAATCCCGACAAATGACTTGAATGCATGAAACATTTCGCGGTTTCTTCCAGGTGTAACATAAATACGAGATAGTTTCCGCTGGTAAGTACTCCACGAAGGAATCCCTCTAATTAGATAAGTAATCCTTGAACGTTTTGCATATTTAATTAAACATAATAATCTCTTATACATTAATTTTTT